GTTCTCCAGTTCTAAACCATCAGCAGCTCTGAGGGGGAAGACGGGGCTTTTCATTTGTGTAAACGGTTACAGTCTCAGAACCCACGGAGGGTCACTGAGTCAGCGTGGACTCGATGGCAATGAGTTTAGTTTGGTTTGGTTCTCTGTGCACTTCTGTGTGGAGATGTGGCTTGGCTCCAAGCCACCGAAATGGGGTTAGCCGCCATCTGGCCTGTCTTCCCATAGGGATGAGCCCATGATTAGAGTTGGCCGATCAGAGCGCCTGTACCCCCAGGCACAGTGAACATTTCCCAGAGGGCACATGACTCAATCAAGCCCACGGATTCCTTCTAGGGAGTGGCCTGGCAGGCCTGTATCATTGGTAGGGAGAAGGGTAGGAGCCAGGTTGAGTGTCCCCTGCCCCTCCCCCTCAGGTGTGGAGAGAACAGGACCCAGCTCCATCCTCTGGACTTTGGATGCAGCCCCGTCAGTCCCTAGACCATCTCTAGGGACATCTCTATCCTGTGGGCCTAGCAGTCCCCTCCTCTGTGACTGCACTTGCGATGGGTACTGTCTCTTGACCACCCAAGCTGCAAACCCACTGCCATTGAGTAGCTGTCAACTCCTAAGGCCCCTATGGGGCAGAGCAGAACTGCTCCCTGGGGTAAGTCATCATGGGAAGAGACAGCCTCTTCTTTGTCCCAAGCACTGACTGGTGGCTTGGAACTGCTGACCTTCTGGCTAGCAACCCAATGGCTAGCCCACTGTGCCACCAGGTTTCCCCTCGGGGATGAAACTAGAGCTGATTTTTAAGTGCAAATCTGGCAAATTAATCGGCCACTCCCCGCAACCCAATCTAATCATGGGGATTTGTTTCATTTAAAAAAATTAAAGACATGCTCGCTTCGGCAGCACATATACTAAAATTGGAATGATACCAAGAAGATTAGCATGGCCCCTGTGCAAGGATGACACAAATTCATGGGGAAAAAATTAAAGACATGTTTGTGTAATTAATAAAGATCTGACACATCCGAGTCTTCACAGCTTGCAAGCACACAGGGGCACTGGCCCTCAGGCCCCGATGAGAGGAGGATGAATTGGCGTTTCCATTGTGGACAACGTTTCCAGCGCTCTATATCAGAAGTGCTTGCTTCTCTGTGTGGCGATTCCACTCATACACCAAAACCACCACCATTCAACTCGGGATAGCACCGTTGAGCAAGGGGATGGGAGGAACAGGTAAGCCGTTTCCAAGTTGTAGAAATCCATCTCCGGCCAGAGGAGCTCACTCACTGCTCCTGGGGGTCTCCTCACGCATTGGCTCCTTTGCCCCTGGCTTGCTGCATCTTGGCACCATTGACAAGCTGAGCCAGGGCCTCTTTGGGGCTGGGGCTGCCTTGTGCACTGGAGGATGCTGAGCAGCATCTCCTATGTCTGCTATTTGAGGCTAGTAGTATGCATTGCATTAGTTAAAGCTGCTGCACAGGACCTCGTAAGAACGTTGAAAAGCACGGTTATTACTCTGAGAGCTAGGGTGCTCCTGACCCCAGCCACAGAGCTCGCAGTCACCTCCAGTGCATGTGAAAGTTGGACATTGACTCAGGGAGACCAGAGAAGAACCAGTGCTTTTGAATTGTGGTGCTGGAGCAGAATATAGTGAAAGTACCATGGACTGCTAAAAAGACAGACCGATCTATCTTGGAAGAAGTACGGCCCCGAGTGCTCCTTAGAAGCAAGGGAGGAGAGACTTTGTCTTACATACTGGGGACATATTCGTCAAGAGAGACCAGTCCCTGGAGAAGGACATCATGCTTGGTACAGTGGTGGGGCAGGGAAAGAGGAAGGCGCCCAAGGAGATGAATTGACCCAGTGTGTTCAGACACAGGGACGACCGTGAGGCAGGCGTAGGACCGTGTTTTGTGCTGCTGTGCAATGGGTCCCTGTGACTCAGAACTGCCTCAGCCCACCCGATGGCAACAACAGGAACGTCCCCTCACGTCTGGACAGCCAAAGAATGTCTGGAGAGTTTGTCAAGGGTCCCCTGAGGGGTCAAACCACTCCAAGTTGAGAGACAGTGGCTTATCTTCTTTGTTTGCAAGAGGACCTGTGGAGGGTTTGGGTCCCAAACAGACTTGGAAGATGCTAGGAAAGGCATTACACTTGAGCCACCTGGTTTGTGAATGAGCAACACCCAAGGCCAGAATGTAGACCCAGTGGCCCCCTATGGGTGCCTGCACATGGAAGGTACTTGACTGATGGCGGTGCCCATCCACTGAAAATCTGAGAATGAATGAAGCAGTGTCCCCCTTCCTCCAAGTGGAGGTCACAAAGAGGGAGGCCGTGAGTCAGGCACAACAAGCAGGCACATTTGGTTTTGACCACCGACGGTTTTTAAATCATTGAAATTAGTTGCTGATATATATTTTTGAAAAAATGTGAAGATTTCTTGGCTACAAATGTGCTTGACACAATGGATGCATGTATAGATTGTGATAAGTGTTGTACACGATTTCTTCACACAAGAAGTCTTCCAGGCACGATGGGAAAACAGAGAAGGAAAGAATCCCACAAGTCCTTACCCTGATACCAAAGCCAGACAAGACGACACAGAAGGGAAACCAAAGTTTCCCAACCAAAGTTGAGAAGCAAACATCCTTAGCCGACCGTTAGCACATCAAACCCAACGATGATAAAAATAATTCTGCACCGAGCTCAAGAGCCAACCTTAGTCCATGTCCGGAGCCATTCGGCTCAATCTTCACTATATTTTGTCAGAGCTTGCAGTACTTTTCCATTCCCGCCTACATGACATAGTTTTGTGATTGTGTTGTCTCCCCTCTGAGTAGCCTGTCCTAGGGACAGCCTGAGTTTAACCTTCGGGTCTGCCTGGAGGCAGATGGGGGGGTTTCCATACATGGTGTGACAAAGCACCTATATCCTGCTTCCCCTTGATTGGGTGGGGGATTGTCTTCACCCTATTTACATATCTAGTGCCTGCACCTGATTTGCATGGAACAATGTCACTTCGTGTACATGGTTGAAGACTGTAAACCGTTACTGAGGGCGCGCTCCCCCGGACTCCTTGATTGGTCTATTACCAAACTGGCCTAATTTACATGTGCGACCGGTGTTTCCCTTCCCCTGGCCTATATAGGCTGCAACCTTTCACTCAATAAATGAGACTTGATCAGAATACTGTCTTGTCTCCGTTCCTCGTGTCTCTTGTTCCCCTCAATTCCCACGCCCTCCTCCAGGGTCTGCGTTGACGTTCCTGCGGGTCAGGACAAGTCCATCCAGTCGACTGACTCACAGTGACCCTGTAGGACAGAGTAGAACTGCCCCTCGGGTTTCTGAGAGTTTCCATCTTTATGGGAGCAGACAGCCTCCTCTTTCTCCTGCGGAGCGCCCAGTGGCTTCAAACTGCTGCCCTTGTGGCTAGCAGCTCAATGGTTGACCCACTACATCACCTGGGCTCTTTAAGCCCTAACCAGAGAGAGTTCATTCCAGATATGCAAGTGTGGGGGACCAGCCTCCATAACCAAATAGGTCCAAGGGGGCAGTTGTATAATTGAGGGGTAAATTATAGACGCCAGACAAGGCATGCAAGGGCTCACCCCCACCATGGCTTCAGGAACAAGGTCTGAGCAGAGAGAGCATAATGTATCTGTCACGAGCTTATAAAACCTTGGGCATGCAAGCCACGGTAAGCACATAAGAAACAGGAAGGGGTTCTAATTGAGGCATACACACATGAGGGGGATGAGCTAGGGGTGTACACCCAATAGGAAGGGGCGGTACTAGAGGCACACATGTGACAGGAAGGTACATACTTAACAAGATGGGCGGGTTCTAGAGTCAAGATGGCAGCCAAAGCTTGCTTGTCTCTGAGCTGGCTTGACCTTTGATGTCTTTGAGCTCTTCTCCAGGGGAACAATCTATGATCCTTATCAGAAGGGAGTGGACTGTACTTAGGGTTCAGATGGTCTGACTGCTTTTGATGGTAGACAATCTTTAGGCAGATAGCCTTCAAGCAGTTGGCCTTCAAGAACATAATAAGCAACCATGTGTTTGTAAACAGCACCTTAAACTTGGCATTATTATGGGGGAACATTGAGGGGAATAACTTTTACTTAGCATGTGACTGGGACGCACCTCTAACTTACAAACGTGAAGGCCCCCTCTGTGGGAGCCCCGGCCTCCCAGACTCCTAACGTATAACGCTGAGAGTTTGTCCGCATACGCTCTCTTCTCAGTTCTGTTTCCCACATGCAAAGGTTTTCATAGGGTTTGCAGTAATAATTTCTGAGAAGTGGGTCACCCCTTCCTACTTCCTAGCTCCACTTGAACCTATCCACCAGGGTGACCCTGCTGGTATTTGATTAAGCAAAGGCATTCAGCTCTGTGGATCATAACAAACGATGGGTAACATTGAGATGAATGAGAATTCCGGAACACGTACCAGTGCTCACGCAGCACCTGTCCATAGCAGGAGGCCATCATTCAACCTGAGCACGGGATATCGTGTGCGTTAGGTTAAAGCCGGGAAAGGTGTGTCAGGACCAGATCCTCTCACCATCCTGTTCAGTCCACGTGCTGAGCACATAATCAGAGCCCATGGACTCTGAGGAAGCACGAGGCACCAAGCGCAGCGGAAGGCGCATGAACAACCTACTGATGATGGCACTTCGCTTGTGGAAAGCCAGGGGCACTTGAGCACTTGCTGATAAAGATCAAAGACAACGGCCTTTGTTTGGGATTATGCCTCCACATCAAGAAAACAAAAATCCTCACAACTGGATCAATAAGCAACATCAATTAGCTGGATGCTGCCACGGATTTCATTTTACTTGAATGAGCCAATGCTCATGGAAACAGGGGTCAAGGAATCAAATGGCATACTGCACTGGACAGATCTGCTGCCCGAGATCTACTTAGAATGCTAAAAGGTAAAGAGCCGACCTTGTAGACGAAGGCACAACTGACCCAAGCCAAGGTACGAAGGGGCTTCAAAGAGTTTGTGGGGAATGAAAAGATAGTGGAATTTTTCCATGGCCTTTTGGAAACCCGCTCCTATATACAAGCCACGTGCTTGACAAGAACACGGGTCTAGCATAGAGAAAGAAACATGAAAGCACAACAGCAGAACAAACCCAGCCTTAAAATTGATTATAGTAATGATCGTACAACTCTTCTAATATGATTAAACTATTGAATTGTATGATATGTGGTTTGTTAGGTAGACTAGCGTAGGGCAGGGGAATGTCCATTAAGGCGTGCCCAGAGGGCCAAGCTACAGGAACAAAGGAGTGGTGCAGTGCACATGCCCAGAGGCTCAGGTTTCCCATGGTAGGCATGGGTGGGCGTGAACCTGAATTGACCCACCTAGGCCAGGTGAATTCAATTCAGCCAATGGGGTCGATCAGGGGTCTTTCGCCACGCCTCCCCGTGGAATCCTTGAAGAGGCAGAAGCCCTGAGTCGAGCAGGAGAGAGAGAACTTGGGTGCAGAGAGCTTTGGCAGGACTTTGGGACACTTTTGCGTGACACCAAGCAGCTTCCAGCCAGGCTGCAGGCCGGGAGGAGTCCTATGGGTGCCATGTAAACCTGAAACTTCTTCTAATTCTCATAAAACTCACTTGGATCACGAACCAGGTTTCGGCGTGAATTCTTTCTCGTGCGGAGCCAAGGACCGAGGTATAGACCTAGCTACAGGGGAGCAGCTACTCCGTGAGTGTGCTCAGCAGAACGGGAACCACGATGCATCACACTCAGGAGTGATCTCCACCGGGCCATGCTGACGGAAGAATGGCCAACCCCAAAGCTCACATGCTGAGTTTCTGGTTACAGGCTGTCGTTGGGTGTCGTCGTCGAGTGGGTTACGACTCCCAGTGACCCCATGTGCATCAGAACGGAACACCACCCCGCCCTGCGCCCCCTGCTCTCACGTCTGAGACCACGGTCGCAGCCACGGCGCCCATCATCTTGTAGAGGTTCTTTCTCTTTTCCCGGCCCCTCTACTTCACCCCAGGGGCACAACTGCCTGCCTCCTCCGCATGCGAAAGCTGGTCACCGAGTAAGGAAGAAGAGATGCATGTGAAATGCGGTGCTGCAGAAGAATATTGGAACAAGCACGGACTGCTAAGCGCACAAAGCTATCTGTCTTGGAAGAAGTACAACCAGGGTGCTCCCTCGAGGCTTCGCCTTACATACTGGATGGCCCCTACCAACGACTTTCCCAAGCACGATGTCCTTTCCCATAGGCATCAAGCCCTGACAAGACGACAGGATAAAAATGCAGATCTGACAGGGCTGACGGAGGGCCGAGGTCGAGGACGGAAGGGAGACAATAGCTATGAAAAGGCAATTGTAGACGTTCTGTATTCTCACTGTCTCTCTGTCTGTCCTGGAGAGGACAGCTGCTGCCGTCCTTAGGTGCCACCAAGGCGGCTCCAACCCCTAGGGACCCGTGCACCCCAGAATGACACAGTGCCCGGTCCTGCACGGTCCTCACAATGGTTCCTACACGGAGCCCAGGGTCGCAGCCACTGGGTCAGCCCATCGCATCGAAGCCCCGTCCTTCCCTCTGCCAGACATGATGCTCTTCTCCAGGGATGCTGGCGTCTTCCCAGATGTGACCACTGGGAGGCCAGATAAAGAGTGAAGGCCTGGTGGCACACAGGTTAGCACTCAGCTGCTGACCAAAAGGTCAGCGATGTGAACCCACTAGCCCTTGGACTGACTGGGCCGCCTGTTTCTATAAAGAGTGATCCCCTTGGGAACCCCCTGGAGACAAGCAACTGGGCTCTGTAAGGTCTCTATGAGCAGGACTTGGTTGGCAACCATGAGAGATGAAGGGTCGCTAGGATCTCCCTGTATTATTTCTTACAACTACACGTGAATGTACAGTTTTCTTGAAGTAAAAAAAAAAGAATTAAAAACTGTTAAGTTTCCACAGAAGAATACGGCTCTCTGACATCTTTTGAAGAAGCAGGGAGATCTTGTGGGGCTGAGAGTACTGTCCCAGTAGAAGCTGTCCACAGTCGCATGCACCCATTGCAGAATGACAGGTCCCTCGAGCTGGCCCTGGTCCCCACTGCCCCCGGTGACCTCACGTCCAATCACTAAGCGCTGGCTCTTGCCCACTGCTGTGGACACTGTGCTTTGCAAGCTTTTGAGGGCATCGGGGTAACTGTTTGGGGGCTGGGGGGAATGAAGAGAAAAGCCAGAGGCCAAGCAAGCTGGCACATACTGCCTTTTCGCTCCAACTTCCTCCTTCACGAAACGAGACACCACAAGTTCTCAATTTGACCGAGGTTTTCATATTTTCTGCTTTCCTTTCGAGTGAGATTTTTCTCTGTTTTACTTTGTTATTGTTGTCAGATTGCTCTTTTTTAACTTGTTGGTTATGGTATCTATTTCTGTGTATGAAATCCAGGATAGGTACATCTACAGAGAGAGTATGGGATTCGTGGTTCCTTAGGGATATGGCAGGGGTGGTTGGGAGGAAATAGAGAACTAATCCCAGTGAGGACAAGAACTAAGAAGCTGTTCTAAAATTAATTGTGGTGATGATTGTGCTACTCTTCTTGATATGATTGAACGATTGAATTATATGCTAAGTGGATTATGTGCCAATAAAAGTTTTTTAATAAGAAACGTAACACCACGAAGCCACAAAGCCCACGGTGTGTGAGACACAGAAGACAGTGGCGGCTGGTTTTGCGTGCCAGGGTGTTCAGTCAACACTCTCCAGACGTGAAGCCGACAACTATGCCATGAGCGCGTATCTCACCCCCAGCCCTGGCCAGGGAAACCCCTCAACCCCCTTTCTCTCAAACACGAACGCTTTACCAGCCTGAGAACAATAGTCACATTCATCTCCACAACTCCGATCGGCTTCCAATATCTTTATAATGGCTGCCGTTTTGGAGGGGATGTGGAAAGGGTCTCCTGAGGAGGAGTGGGGGATGGGTGGGTACGACCTAGACACATGTGTTCAACTGTCAGTCTACCTAATTTAAAGCACAGAATAAATAAAACAAGTGCTCATGGCTTATTTGAAGGGGAATCCAGAAAATGAAGCAAAACCTATCCTGATAGCTGTATAAAGACCTGTGCACTATGTATTTTCCTCACTGCCAGCGAGTCGATGCCAACTCAAGGAGAGACCCTACGGGCAGAACTGCCCCTGTGGGTTTCTGAGACTGCAACTCTCTACAAGAGTCGACAGCAGAAAGCCTCATCTTTCTCCCACACAGCGGCTGGTGGTTTTGAACTGCTGTCTTTGTGCTTAGCAGCCCAACATGTAACTCACTCCGCCACCAGGACTCCTACCCGCTATGTGTCGGCCACCTCTAATGGGTCGCTATGAGTTGAAATCGACTGATGGCAGTGGATTTTTGGTTTTGTGTTTAAACCAGGCACCAGCTGTGTCTCTGCTTGGTCCTCTCTGGGCTGATGTGATGCTAGAAGTGAGTGAAAAAGAGGAGTGGCGTCGTGGTTGTGTGCTGGGCTGCTAATGGTAAGGTCAGCAGTTCAAAACCACTAGTTACTCCACGAGGGAACAATGAGGCTTTCTACTCTGGTGAAGAGTTACAGTCTCGGAAACTCACCGGGGCAGTTCTACCTGGTTGTATCGGGTCGCGATGAGTCAGCATCGACCCCATGGCAGTGAGTTTGACTTGGTTTTGGGAGATCAGTGTTTCCCCAAAGCGGGTGCTGTGCCCCTTGGGGGCGTTGGGATGATATCCAAGAGATTTGCAAAAGCAAATACCTAATTGTACAATTATGCTTGATCTATTTGAAGTTTGGAGTGTTATGACACCTGTAAGAGCTCCTAATAAAATGATGAATGATAATTTTTAAAGAGTAAATGCCTATACTTTGTCCTGGATATGGGCTTTTCAAAAGCTTCTCCTTGTGTCCGTGGGGCACCGAGTCATTATTATTATTATTATTATTATTTCCTGAAAAGCGGGTGATGAGTCAGGTACGTTTGGAAGTCTGTGGTCCAGACAAATCAATCAAGAGAGGGAGAAGCGTCCCGACACCCACCTGGCTGTCCGCGGTGCTGTTCTCGTTGCCCATGCTGGGAGACCCTCGGGTTTTGCCAGAGGCGGCTGGAAGAGACAGAAGAACGTGAACACCCGCGATTGTGAGGCCAGTTTGTTTCCCCCAAACTCAAAGGCCGAATGGTGGTAACTGCCTAGCTTCACCGTCCCACGAGGGACATCGCTCGTGAAGTGTTTTCACGGGAAATGGGCCACTCGGACTGCTTTCCCAACACGGACCGGCATCTGCAGGCCCCGCCCTGCAGTTGGCAGATGCTTCAGGAAAACGGGTTTGCTCCCGAGTCTCTGGGTTCAGCCCCAAATCTGCCAGTGCCTGTTTAATGTCAACAGGGAGGCGGAGGGAGGCGGAGGGGGCAGCGTGCCAGGGTTCCTGTTTTTCACATCTTCAGTCTGGAGACCCCCACGTGGCTGGCCCCCGGTGTTGGTGACAGTGCAGTGGGGCACGCGGAGGCACAACACCCTAGTGCTCTTCAACCACCTACGGTTTCTAAGGTTCCTCCTCTAAACACTTCACTTCTGGACACATTTCCACGGAGGCAGAGGAAGGTCACGCAGAGCCAGCATTGCCAGGGTCTGTTTCTGGGGCGCTTTGCTCATTAACACCACGCCCAAGGCTGGGACATCCCCGACCAGCCGGCACCCAGCTGAGTGTCACAACGCCATGCCACAGGAGCCTCAGCACCTTCCCTTTCCTTTTCCGGTGAAGAAGCCGTGTTACAGGGGAACTTCAGAAGGCGTAGACTTTCAGAGTTGGAAGGGGTTAAAGAGTAGGGAAACTGAGGCTCCAGACAGCGGCAGGCTGGCTAATGACTGAGTTTCTCAGGGCAAGTAGGACTCCTGCCGAGTTCTAGTTAAGGCTTCTCCCACGGGGGCAGGACTTTTATCAGCATATGCCCTCCGTAAACAGCGGCCACTCATCCCCTGAACAATAAAACCAGCCCACTGATGGGCTCATTCATTCAGCCAATACTCACTGGGTGGCTGCCGTGAGCTATGTGTATGTAAGTGACGCCAACACCAACAAACCAAGAGAAACGTGACTAATGTCATTGTCGGGCCTGATTCTCTAACTCCCAGGCCTGAACCAGGACACTAAGTCCTTACCTTAACCCTTAATCCCCATTGCCAGCACCCACCGCGTGCTCACTTAGTGGGATATGAAGAATCTTTGTTTATTAACACTTGATCACGTCCCTTTATGGTTCGTGTTTATCTGGAAATGATCCCTTGTTAGAAATGAATGCGGAGTGTTACACAGTGTGCCCCGGTACATTGTCGTGGCTTCCTGGTAAAGACCCACCAGGTTGAACCAAAGGGTATGGTTCAATGTCATACCCATACTTGAAGCTCACTCACCAAGCTGAACTCACTCCTGCTGGCACTCGGGGTTCCCGAACCAGCTTTGCAAACGGAAGGAGGCCGGCGTGAGCCTGGAAACCCTCTCTTGGCGAGCACTGGAGCCACCAACCCACCACCACCCCCGGGTTTCCCAAGACCGGGAAAGAAGGAACCCACAGCTCTGCCATCCACTTACCTTCTGGAATGTTCTGTGGTGACTCTGAAGGCTGAGGGCCCACAAAAAGTCTGTGCTTGTCAGCGATTGGACTTTCTCCTCCTCCACTCAGAGCAGGTATGGTCTCAGCTAGGCTCAGACCCACTCAGCCAGCTGGGCCCACGCCTGTCCCCGCCCTCTGCCTGACACACACACAGGCCACGCCTCACACCTGGGTGCTGGCTGGGTCCCGTCTTAGACAAGTATTTCTGCAGGCCGGCAACCTGCATTTCTGAGCCCGTTCTTTCCCGTCATTCTGCCTGCAGAGCTCCGATCAGGAAAGGCTTAGTCCAGCCGAAGCTGCCTGTGATCTATGGAGCGGGCCGACCGAGGGGGCACACCACCCAGCAGGCCTTCATCCGCCCTCTCTGGGTGTCCGAAGGCGAAGCAAACCTCTCTTTTTAGACAGGAGTGAATGTTCACCCTGGCACCTGGGAAAGTTCAGCCTTAAGCCATGTGGAAACACACAGACGTTGCCAGCTGCCTGGCGCCTGCTGGTGCTGTGTCCTTCCCAGGCAGGCATGGCTTCCCTCCAAGGGTGAAGTCACCAGACACTGCAGCCTGCCCTCTGGAGCGGGAGGGGG